AGAAGTACGCGAGATGATAATAATTATATGAATGAGAAGATTTTTAACATTACGTTTCAAAGATGAACTTTAAATAACTCATAACTATTGTTAAAAGGTTTCTATACATAGCCGTCAACACATCTTATTTGTGCGATCAATTTATTATTCGTACAGTACAGTACATTACTTCTTGAAGTAATGCAGTTTTTTCGTAGAAATTAACTATCATGTTTATTTTGCGTCATGTATAAATAACCCCAGACACAGGGGACTGCATCATTTTTACTACTTTAGTAAAGAAATTAAGTTTAGTCATAATTCTGGCGAATCGTAATCCGTGCAAGTTTGTTAATTTTCCCACATAGTTCATATCTGTTAAGATCTACCGGTATAATGCTTGTTTATGTCTACTTAATTGTTTTCTCTTTCCTTTTTTCATTAATATAAGACAATTAAATACTGTTATGTAAACTTCGAACAACGATTTAAAAAAAAAAATCAGGAGATAGATAAGACTCAATATTTCAATTGTTTTTCTTTTTCCTTTTTTCATTAAAATAATACAATTAAATACTGATATGTAAACTTCGAACAACGATTTAAAAAAAAAATCAGGAGATAGATAAGACTCAAGGTTTCAATTCTTTTTATGGATTAATAATCAATTAATAAATTGATGCTTTATCGCGTCTCTAAGAAAGGAAATTTTTTTCTACAAGTCTTTGAAGGCTCATTATATAAAAAGATGAATGATAAAATCAATTTGCAAAACACACTTTTTTTTTCTTTTATACATTGTTACTGTAATAAAAATTTTTTTATAAAATTGATGTTTTTAAAATTAATAGAGATATTTCCCGAGTATTCTCTGAGAAAACCTTGTAAACAGAATATGACAACTGTTATTGTATCGATCTGATTATACGAAGTTCCTAAGTAAAAATTCATCCACAACAATAACACTATTAAGATAATGACAACTTCAGCATCATTCTCCATTAAACGCAAGCGTATACATAATACAATTATTAATTGTAAAAGATGTGGCTTCAAAAGACGTCATAAAGATACAAACGCCTCATATTGCATATATTGTGATTTGTTGCTTCAAATGCCATCAAGTGATAACATATTAATTGATGATTTCATCAAAAAAACGTTCACTGTACCGGGTGTTAGTAATAGGTACAAAAGATTACAGTTTGCACCTTTTGACCAGTTTATTAATATTAAATATCTTGCCGAAGGAGGATTTAGTAAAATATATAGAGGAATATGGAAAGATGGTCCATTTACTTCTTGGTATTCAAAGAAGAAGAGATTTCATAGACATAAAAATTGTAGTATTGTTCTTAAAAGCCTTAAGAATTCAAAACACATTAGCACAGACTTTTTTAATGAGGTTAGTATACGAAAAAATAAATATAACAAATATTCTAACGTTTTAATGTTATAAGATTATTTTCATTAATATAATTTTATTAATATTATTATTTTAATATCATTTTTGATAGTTAGAAATTTACAATAAATGCGTAAATTCTACTAGATACGATGGTGAGCATATCATTAAATTTTTTGGTATGACCCAAGATCCGCAAACCGGAAATTTCATGATTATCACTGAATTTGTAAAAAACGGTGATTTACATAATTTTCTAATGAAAAATATAAATACATTATCTTGGTTAAAAAGATTAGAAATATTGAAGAGTATAGTACATGGGCTTACAAAAATTCATAGAAAACAAATCATTCATCGAGACTTTCACAGTGGCAATATACTTGTTAACAATAATCATGAGGTGATTTTGGTATAAGTATGCCAGCAAATGGTTTATCGGATAATAGTGAAATATATGGCATTATTCCCTACATTGCCCCTGAGGTATTTAAAAATGGAAGATTTACTACTGCCTCCGATGTATATAGTTTGGGAATGATCATTTGGGAATTGACAAGTGGTTATAGACCATTTTCCGATCGTGTTCATGATGAAGATCTTATTTTAGATATTCTTAATGGCCTTCGTCCAAAGATTATTGATAATACTCCACAACTATTTATTGATTTAATGATGACTTGTTGGAATGCTGATCAATCAAAAAGACCAACCACTGATAAATTATTAAGCCACATTTGTAATGCTTTATATGAAAACAAATTCAATTTTCTTGAAATTCCACGTTTCGAGTTATTTCAAAAAATTAACTCTCAATCAATATATACAAGTCGCCCACTGAGTTTTTTGATTAAAACTGCTTTAATTTTGCAAAAAAAGCAATCGAATTCACTAGATAATGTTACTGGTATGAAAATAATTTAAACATAAATTTAATGCAAATTATATAATTCATTATTGATAATTTATTATCTATTTTAACAGAAACGTCATATCGATATTTATCAAATACTATTAACGATGGTAACTATTGCATAAACTTTTCAAATCAAAATTAATGCTTTATTATGAAATATGTATCATAATATATATAGTAATGAATGACTTTTTAGAATATGTTTCTCAAGAAATTTCTTTCGATATAAATCAAAAAAGGTACGTACGTACGTACGTACATTATGTACTACACATCTTTAAGAAATATATAATTAATTAATTATACGTATGTTATATTTTTATAGTATCTCATATTTTACAAATGAAAAAAATGAGTCATTTTAAACCCAATTAATTATTTGTTCCCGGCACGTTAATATAATATTAACTTGATATTAAAATTTTATTTAGCACAAATATAAAATTTGGTTACATACAGTCAAACCTTTCTATGATCACACACTTGATTTTGTACTTATAAAGAATTGTGCGTATATAGAAATTAAACTTTATATATTTTATAAAAGTTGGTTTTAAGAATCAGTGCGATTATAAGTAAATGTGATTATATAGAGTATGATTATAAAGAGGGTTGACTGTATCGTTAAAATAAAAACTTCTAAAAATTTATTTGCACATAGTTAACTCTTTATATCTTAGACCTATCGTATTAAAAAAGATATATATAATTGTCCGAAGGACATTACAGACGTCTGTATGTTAAAAATTCTGAATAGAAATCGTTGATCAGAAAATATAAACAGCCGTGTATATTAAAGTTATTCCAAATAGAATCCTTCGAACTTTTAATAGTTTCTATTTTCTTAGTAATAATAATCAATATTTATTTTAAAATCTATTTAATATCAACCAAACCAACCTTTATAATAAATAGAGTGTGGGAATCGATTGATAATTATTCGAGATATTTCGAGCATCTGACAAAGTGTTTTGATTTTAACGAGATTTTTTGATTTATCAATAAAGAACAGATTTTGACTCAACAAAACGGCAATTTTTATAGGCTGGAGCCATAACTACCATTCCTTTAAATTTTAGATTGTTCTTATATATTCTAACATCCTATTTGCCTTTATTCAATTAAAAAAAAATTCATATGAGCCCTTGATCAGGGACGCGTAATTATTTCGAAATCAATATTTTGAAACAAAATTCAATCATTTATACTTTCGATTAATTTTACTAAAAATTTCAATCAGGAATCCCGACATTTCGAAATTGCGTAGAATAAGACTTCTTGAAAGGCTTTCGCTTCGCTTTAGCCAATTAATTTTTCAAAAAAAAATGAATTAAAAACGTGGAATTTGATTTAATATTGAATAAAGATACTACATCTTCTGAATGCTCTCGTAGAGTTTTCTTTTTAATAATAAAGATGATTAATCTAATTGTATTATTATTTCGGTTGGTTATTATGACTAAAGATAAAAAACAAGTTTACCGTAAAAGACTTAATAAATCTGTCTTTTCATTACAGTGTGCGATAAAAGTATTTCTCCCCTCTAATTTTTTAAAATCAAAGCTACAGTTTTGAAACTTTTACAATAAATAGTATTAAGTAAATATATATCAGTAAAAATTTTTTATTTTTTAGGGGTTTATAATTCGGTGCATATACACCGTGGTGCACCATGCCATATGATTTAAATTTGGTATATATACAAACATATATATGTTACGGGTATAGATGCAGACATTTGAAGACGTATGGTTACGTCCAATTAACGTGTCATCACGTCACAAGTGCCATAACGACGTAGGTCATAATAATTGACGTTTGCCGTAACCTTAATTGCATTACTTGAATGTGTGCTAGGTTTGTGGTGCAGCTAAAATTCTTTAATGTTCGTTTATGTTAGAGTTAGGGTTAGAGTTATGGCTTAGTTGAAGATAGTTTATATAGTAAAATTGCCCAAAGAAACCTTTTTATTAAAGCATCAAAAGTGGTTTCTTATGTAGAATTTCGAGAAATAAGTGGTTTTTGACAAAAAGGACATTTGTTTTGAATTTTCTTGATCCCGTCGCACTTGATCATGAAATCTTATTCGTAGTTCAGTGCATCTGTGCCACAAACCTAGCACACATTCAAGGGGTGCACCTTAATTCAATAGTTACGTCAATGTGAAAATGACGTAGACCATAATAACCGAAATTTGCTGCAACTTTAGTTACGACAATACAACAGATTACGGCAATACAACAGGTTATGGCAGAACTACAGGTTACGGAAGTAAAATTGCCCAAAGAAAACTTTTTATTAAAGCATCAAAAGTGGTTTCTTATGTAGAATTTCGAGAAATAAGTGGTTTTTGACAAACGGACATTTGTTTTGAATTTTCTTGATTCCATCGCACTTGATCATGAAATCTTATTCGTTGTTCAGTGCATCTGCGCCACAAACCTAGCACACATTCAAGGGGTGCACCTTAATTTAATAGTTACGTCAATGTGAAAATGACGTAAACCATAATAACTGAAATTGCTGCAACTTTAGTTACGACAATACAACAGATTACAGCAATACAACAGGTTATGGCAAAACTACAGGTTATGGAAATACAACAGGTTACAGGATTTCAAGAATTTAAAAAGTTACAGCAATACGGCAGAACAAATAGTTACAGTATTACAAAATGTAAGTCAATCAAGTTTTTAATAATTTTGATTTTTATAACAATCTTTTTTTTCAAGAAGATATATCTATTCGCTCTAATCAGATCTTAACCCAATAACTTATGCACAAGAACAATGATAATAACTACATAGTACATTTATGAGAATTGGTAAAGTGGTAAAACCAAATAATATTAACTAAAACATATACATATATGTGTCACTAATTACTGTTATAATAGCCATAAACCTAAGCAACTATTCAAGTCAAAGGTTTTTACATTACAATTGCAGTCATGAAACCTACTCTTATTATTTAAAGATTGTTAACTACATTTTTGTCTATGGGTCTTTATATATCACAATCAAAAACTCTTACAAAATTTCATATTTGTTTACTAACTATGTGTTTGCTGATATTTATAGTAATTTATTATATGTATTATAATTTAAACTTAAAAATACTTGCATAAAATCAGGGTATAATAAAAGCCTATTCACTTATAAATTGTATTCTTAATATCTTTATAAAATGATAACTCTAACTATATCAAAAATTAATCTTAACCAGAACTGGCTTTAACTTTTTTCTAAAATTAGATAATATAGAGTCTTTGTAGTAGAAAGGGTAGATACTGCCAAAAAATGAAAATTGAGTTTTTGCTATATTTGAATAAATCTTAATATAGGTAACATTTTTTAATTATAAATAGAAATCAATTTTTATAATAAAAAATTAAGATATTTAAAAAAACTTTTTGAGTTTTTATACATTACAAGATTATCTGAAATAACTAACTAATCAAATCATAAAAATTTTAATTAACCTAAATCAGTTTGAACAAAACAAACTTAATTTTCTCAAATTATATATATTAATATATTCACCCTTCTACTGCAAAGGCCCATATAATTAATATAAATAATTTATATAAGATTAGTATAATTAATTATATTATTTTACTTTTATTTAATATTATATAATTAAAAATTAAATATTTGTAATATATTGTTAGTTATATTCTAAAAATATATTTAATTTAATATAGTTTGATAATAAAAATCTATATTAAATTATTTTACTATTAAAAAAATATATTATTATATAAATTTAATTTTTAAGATTAAATTTTAATAAAATTGTAAATTAATATTTTAAAAATTGAAAGTTATAAAAATAATATATAATCAGACTTTACAGAATCAAATATCTTTGTATAAAGATAAAGATTTTTTAGAATCTAATTCAAATATTTATAATAATACTTTAATATTAATAGAACTTGAACTACAATTAAAAAAAACTAAAAAAGTAATTTAAATTTTGATGAAATATGGTATTATATTATTAAAGATATATAAGTAAATCTAGAATACTATAAGATAATATATTCTTAATATAGTAAATATTAGTCAAAAAACAAATTACAATATATAAGATAAAAACTTATTATATAATTTATTATTTAAGTATACTTAAAAATATTCAAAATATTAGTATAAAAAAACTTGTAGAACAAAATAATAAATATTTAAGAAATTCACAATTAAATTTATCTTTATTTATATAAACCAATAACTATTATTTCTTAAATCATATTCTAAACAAATTTGGTTAAAAAATTAAGTATATTTAGTATTGTTTAAATAAAATAATAATTATTAATGATACAAAATATATATTTATTATAGAATATATTCTGAAAATATATTTTATAAACTTTATTATAAAATTTTTTTAAATTATTTATTAACTTTGAAGTAATAAAATTTTAAAGATTTGTTTAAAAATTTTTATTATTAAAAATATTTTAAGATTTTTAAAATTTTATATATTTCCAAAGATAAAAAATTTTTTCTCTTAATACAAGTTAAATTTTTATAAATAAATTACAGAAGTTATACTATTAAAAATTATTATCTTTTATATAAGCTATAATTTTGTAATAAGGAGGGTGTAGTGACTTAGTGAAGTAGTGAAGTTGTTGCACCCCAAGCATTTAAGTACAAGTTCAATTCCACTATAGACAAAAATTGAATTTAGAAAAATATATTTGGCAACTATCATTGTGGTAGAAAAACTTGAGATCCTGTAAATGTGGTCATATTAATTCATCAAAACTGGAAGATCTTGGGCTTTTATATAATGAAGAAGTTATATAAATATATATGAGTATTGCAGAAAATTACAGAGCTAATACAGCGATAGGGTGCTCGCTTGGTAAGACCTGAATAGAGAGGTAGCACAGATCTTTGATAGTACTATATAAAGGATTGTTATCAGTAAACTGATAAAACTAAACAGAACTAAAGTGTTTGGCAAAACACTCTACCAACCAGGTTGCCAGAGAAGT